CTCTCTCTCTCTCTCTCTCTCTCTCTCTCTTGTTGCAGGAGACATACACAACGAATCGACCTTGACGCTGTGTTCAATGAATAGAGAAATTAGATGTTAGGTGTGTTTGTGCTCTCTCTCTCGCTATTGGAGGCTTTTTTGTGTTGATGCGTGTGCGCCGTTTTTGTGTGCGCTCGGGTGTGATGCGTTTTTTGTGCTGATGCATTCGCGCGTTTGCTTGTGTGTGCGGTGGAGCCCGTGTCTTTTCGTGCGGGTATGCGAAGTGCGCGAAGGGAATCCGTGTGTGTTTGTGCAGTCGAGTGGCATGTGTGATCGCACCGAACGACCGCGCGGAGACACGCGCGAAGGTGTCCGCGGTTGAGCGATTGTGATCTGCTTCGTGGATCTTGTGTGTTTCAACTGCATTCAGTGGCTTGTGTGCTTGAAATGAAATGCACACGAGCAGTTGAATGCAGCGTGAGCGCACAAGATCCGCGCACCAGATCAAAGTGTTGCGCACTCGATTGACCTGTGTGCTGTCTCGGTGTCATGGCCACCCTGCAGCGCAACGGATGATCAATCAGAACCCGCGGTGACAATGCCGAGACAGAGAACGTAACCAATCAGAACACATCACTCCGACCGAACGATTACACCCAGTATCTGCATGTATGTTTGTGTTGTCGTGTGCTTGTGCGAGCTCCTGATGTGTTCAACCGTTCAGTCGCGAAACCTCGATTGACCACGTGGCGCAAGTCTCCTCCAGCGCCGAAATGGCACACGCGACGGATCAAAGCCTTTCGACTACACAAACACACACGCATTCCCTCCACGCACTTCGCATACGCGCACGAAAAGACACGGGCTCCACTGCACACACAAGCAAACGCGCGAACGCATCAGCACAAAAAATGTATCACACCCGAGCGCACACGAAAACGGCGCATACGCATCAACACAAAAAAGTCTCCAAAAGCGAGAGAGAGAGCACAAACACACCTAACATCTAAGTTCTCTATTCATTGAACACAGCGTCAGGGTCGATTCGTTGTGTATGTCTCCTGCAACAAGAGAGAGAGAGAGAGAGAGAGAGAGAGAGAGAGAGAGAGAGAGAGAGAGAGAAAGAGAGAGCACAAGCGTTCGGTCGATTGACAAGCGATCGGCCGATTGATCAGAGCACGAAGTGACAGCGCACCCGGCCGCGCGCTCGTGGCATGACGGGTTCTGGGAGTCGCAATCACGTGCAGTTCGTGTCAGCACCGTTTCCGTTCATGTTCACCATGTCGGCGAGCGACCGAACCAACAGTCGACCAATCAGTTGATCGGTTGATCAAACCTGCCAGTATCTGGTGATTGATCGGCCTCTCGAATGATCAGTTCACCAACAGCCAACCGAGCAGATCACCAATCAGTTGATCCATGAAGCCGTTTGTGAGCGACCGAACTGTCAAACGATCTACTCACTCTCCTCTCCCCGATCGATGTTCATTTGTTGAGCACACTGCATTCACGATCCACTCCCGCGACCGGGAAGAACACGTCGTCAAAACCGTGTCGCACGTCGAACCTTACAGGCCATCGAACCTCGGTGCGCATCGACCCTCGTTGGACGTCGAACCTCGGCGGACATCGAATGCCACCGGGCGTCGAACCTCGTCCGCCATCGAACGATACACGAAGTTCGCCGACATCCGATTTTCTTCCGCCGACCCATGACGACATGTGAACCTTGGGTGCAACACGGACCGACTCGCAGTTGTTCCAGCCCGGGACTCAACCCCCCCAAGCAACCCCCCTAGAACTGTCGTGAAAACAATGTAGCACTCCGGAATCCGAATGTGGATCAAAGTTCGGATCTCGGCGGACTTCAGTTTACCGCCATGGAGCCGCCGTGCCCGCTTGAACACTACTCCACACGTGGCTGTCGTCAGCTCCAATAGCCGGACCTCGTGAAGTCCGCCAGGATCCGGACTTCAATGTGATCGGGATGGGCGTGCCCACGACAAGCAATCTTGCCAAATTGGGATCCCCAACGTGAATGTCGCCAGGGCGAGGACTGCACATATGCGAAGTCCGCCCAAATCCGCACTTCAAAATTTTCGGGACGGGGAGGGGAGCGGACAGCTGTGTCCGTCCCTGTCAATCTCGCCAAGTTCGGATCCCGGCGGACTTCAGGTTCCTTCCTTTGGCCGAATGTGGGACCGCCTCGCTTGCTGGACTGTGGATGGGATAATGGCGGCCGCCACCATTTGTAGTCGGACATTGTGAAGTCCGCAGGGATCTGCGCTTCGAAATGTTTGGGACGACCGTGTCCACCGCAAGCAATCTTGCCAAGTTCGGATCCCGACAAACTTCCGGTCGCCTCCTTTTGCAAGCCACGTTTACGACGAACCCGCAGGACCGTGGTTCTGAATGTGGCTGTCGCCAGGTCATGGTGGTAAATATGCACTTCAAAATGTTCGGGACAGCTGTGTCCGTCCCTGTCAATCTTGCCAAGTTCGGATCCCGGCGAACTTCAGTATCCTGCCCTCCGCCGAATGTGGGCCCGGCGCGCCTGCCGAACTTTGGATCCGAATATCGCAGCCGCCGCCACTTGGAGTCGGACTTTGTTAAGTCCGCATGAATCCGCGCTTGGAAATGTCTGGGACGGCCGAGTCCGCCGCAAGCAATCTCGCCAAGTTCGGATCCCGGCGAACTTCCGGTCGCCGCCTTTTGCAAGACATGTCTGCGGCGCACCTGCTGGACCGTGCATCCGAACGTGGCTGTCGCCAGGTCGCGGAGTGTAAATATGCGTAGTCCGCCCACGTTCGCACTTCAAAATGTTCGGGATGGCGAGGTGCGTGGACAGCTACGTCCCTCCCTTACAATCTCGCGTACTTCGTGTCCCTGCCTTTCGCATGCTGCGGGGGGGGGGGGGGGGGGGGGGCGCACCTCCTGGACCGTGGATCCGCACTTCTGAACGTTTGGGACCCCGGTGTCCACCGCAAGCAATCTCGCCAAATTCGGATCCGGGCGGACTTCGGGTCGCCGCCTTTTGGAAGACATGTCTGCGGCAGCACTGTTGGGCCGTGGAACTGAACGTGGCTGTCGCCAGGTTGTGGAGTGTAAATATGCAAAGTCCGCCAAGATCCGTACTTCAAAATGTTCAGGATGGGGAGGTGCGCAGACAGCTGTGTCTTTCCCTGCCGATCTCTCGAACTTCGGGTCCCGGCGAATTCCAAGTCGCCGCCTTTTGCAAGACATGTTTGTGGCGCGCCTGCTGGACCGTGGAACCGAACGTGGATGTCGCCAGGTCGTGGAGTGTAAATATGCCAAGTCCGCCTAGATCCGCACTACGAAATTATCTGCACGGCGAGGTGCGTAGACTGCTGTGTTCCTCCTGCGCGATTTTAGGGTCCCGGCGCCCTTGAGGCCCCTGCCTTTTGCAATATGTGGGGGCGGGGTGCCTACTGGATGCTGGATCCGCAAATGGTTGTCGTCGGCCCGTGCTATGTGGCCTTGTGTAGTCCACCGGGAACTTCGCCTGGCATTGGCCTTTCGACAGACATTTGCCGGCCCGGATGTCTGAAGATCGGGTTCCGCCATCAGCTTCAGTCAACTGAAAATGTGAAGTCCGCCTGGATCCGAACATTCGCATTGCGAGTTTGGCAAACAGCTGCGTCTCTTCCATGCAATCTCTCCACGTTCTCGCTCGGCAGCCCTGTTTACAAGTGTCCGCGGGCCGTTTGGATTTTGCGCTTGCTTTGCAGGGTGCGCGATGGAGGCGACGTTCTCGACACCGTGGATCATGGAGCCGATCATCTCGACAGATGAGACCATGAGCCACGAGGCGCACATTCGCGAGGCACAACCGTTCCCTCCTTGTGCGAAATCCGTGCGTCAGTGCAGCGGTGTGACTTGGATATGGGGAGCGACCAAAGAAGAGTTCGAAGACGACCCCTGGATGACCGTCGTCCCGTTCTTGAACAAGCATCTTGACGAATGGGGCGAAGGCAATTGGGCCGCGATGGAGAGTCACTGCCCTTGGGCAAGCCAGTACACGTTCCCCAACACGTTGGAGTTCGGGAACCTCATCCATGTGCCTGACGCTGTCCTCGGACAGAAGTTCCTCAACCATGTGCGCAGAACGCTGGGCCGCATTAGCCGCCATTTCAGTCGCCTTCATTGCCACTACGTCACTTCGTCACCACGGACTTGGGATTCTTGGTTCAAACAAGAGTTGCTGGACTGCACTCGCCACTGCTCGTTCCTGGAGCGGTACCCTCTCTGCTGCCCCGGGAACTTTCCACAAGCCGTGTCCTATTGTTGTGTGCGCTTGGCTGTGACCAGATGTCCTTTCGCCAGAGTTCTATGCATCGCCACGTCGAACAAAAGCAGGAACCTCGTCGACGCAGTGGTGCTTGTGTCGCGCAACGAGGTTGTGGTCCGATGGTCCCAGTTCGTGCCGACGCACGGGCCTCAGGGTCCGGATGGGTGGCGAGAGTTGGTGATAGCCGGGAGGACCCGAAGCTTTTCGTTGTGGCGTGAGGTGGAGGAGAAAGTGTCCGCCATACGTGACGCCATAGGAAATTCATTAGCACGACCAGGAGTGTTCGTGCGCATGAAATACATCTCCGTCTTTTCGGAGAGTGCGACTGCCGAAGAGCCGCAGATCCACGTGTACGGTTCATCAATGAATGCTTTGTATGGCTACGGTCCACGACCTCGACCCAGGGGAACCCCTAGTGTCGGCCGAACCGGACAGGGTGTCCAAGCTTGTGTTTGAGAGAAAAGGAGGGAGAGGGGTGAGAGTCGCCATGCCACAGACCTGTGGTGCGAATTCGTGTTCGTCGTCCACTTCTGCGCCCACCAAATTGCGGGTCGTCAGTCTATGACGCCGTCGGTTTCCATGTCCCGCCCTGCTGAAGTTCGGATCTCGGCGAACTTCGCGTCTCCATCTTTTTGAGGTGGTTTCTCTTTGCTCTTGCCGCCTGGGCATGCTCGCCAACCACCCTCCGCATGTGCCAAATAGTCGGTCGTTGTCGTTGCCCAATGCCAAAAGCACTCTTACGGGCCCACGTTGCGGGGTGTGGGTCCATTCGGCGCGGCGTGCGGCGCTGGCTGAGCGATTCATCCCGATTGTGGATCTTGCCTCGCACTCCCCATGGCTGTCGCTCACGTTCCTCAAATTCCGATCCGGCGAACTAGACATTTTCACTTGCCGGCTCTTCTCTGCGTCATTCCTCTGTGACCCGCGGGTGGCGAAGATGGCAGAAGTTCGCCCGGATCCGAACTTCGGGTTCTGCCCTGGCAGAGTCATGGGGGCCTCTCGAGCGTACTTCGCCGTGATCCGAACTTGGAGTTTCCTCGGCTGCAAAATGTGGCCAACGTGTCCGACCACGTTTTCCCGACCTTTGTTCGTCATGTTTCGTTAATGCTCGTCTGTGGTCGCTCGATTGCCAACTGTGCTGTTTTTTTCCGTTTGTCTTGGGCTGACCGAGTCGTGTTTTTCTGCATTTGCTTTGTCGTCCGCAGGTAGGATGTCTTCGTCTAGGGGCGAGGGGGAGCCTGTCGGCACCTCCGGGATGGGGTCGGGTAAAGATTCCGCGAAAAGGTCGTCTACGGCCTCGAAATCGTGGCCCGACCACTCGAGGTCGAAATGGTTTGTCGACTGGTGCTGTGGGGATGCTTCAGCCCCGACTAAACAACCGTGCGGTCCTGTCGTCTTCGTCGTCTCCAACAAACGGCACAGGGTGCTGGGGGCCGTTCAGCGATGGGAGGACCCCAAAGGCACTCGTCGTCGGTTTTTTATGAAAAATGTTTATGGGGCGAAGGGCAACGTCGTCGGCAATTGTAAGGGGGCGTTGCTTGACATGGATTTGTTCGAGGGCTTCGGAGCGGGTGCAGCGAACACCCCTTTCTACAAAGAACTCCAGCGGCAGGGGGGGTTTGTTTTGGGCCGAGAGTTTTTCAACTTGTTAGAGGAGAGGGACGTCTGCCTCGACGTCCCCTGCGACGTCGACCCCTCCCTGGAGCTGTCGACGCCCTTGCAGTTGTGCGGCGGGTGTGAAAACAGTGGCGCTGCGGCCGAGGGGGGAGACCTGGGTTCTGGTCCTGCAAGTCAACTGGAGCGGGTGGAAAGCCGTGGAAATTTCGACGACAGCGGAGACGAGGGGACACCGCTACCGAGTCGTAGAGATCGCTCCGTGTTGTATATACCTGGGGTGCAGCATACAGAACCGGTTCGAGAAGAGGTCTCGGCGGGTTCGGGAAAAGCGGCAGTCCATTTGCAGACTGGCGATGACCTTGCCATGGAAGACGAGCCGGTTGGAGGAGAGGGAACGCTGAGCACTCCACAGAAAAGAAGGGGCGATCGTGAAGACGAGTTCGTCGGCTCTTCGAAGAAACAGAAGACCAGGACCCCGAGGGGTGCGGGGGATAAAAGGAAGGGGACCAGGGTGGAACAGGATCGCCCGGCTGGCAAACGACCGGCTTCGAAAGAACAGCAGCCTGAGTCGGAGCCTTCCTCGTCACGGCCTCCCATCGATGTGGACGTTGGGTACTTCCTCGAGTACAAAGACGGAGTCAGGACAAGGCGGGAGTTTGAGTTCAGCCCGTCTCAGGTGGTCGACATTGGGGAGTGGGAGGATCTGTACAACCAACGATCATTGGATCCGGTCCTAGTGGGAACGATAAAAGAAGCGATGCGGTTGGCGTACGAGAATAAAGAACAGTCTTACGAATTGCCTACCCTGAAGCTAGCACCGCTGGGGCTGTAGAAACCGACTCCAGGGACCAGGGCGAGACGTCTGAAGCCGGAGGAATGGAAGGACGAGCTGGCGGGGCAGTACTACTACTACGCGGTGTGCGGGCAGCACAACGCGGCTGCAGCCCGGTCGCTGCTCGGCAGCGAGGTGGCAAAGAGGTACAATTTCGAGCGGTGGCCAGCGCAAATGCTGTACTTTTCTGACGAAGACTTTGACGGGTATTTCCTTGTTAGTTCCCAGGACAACAAGAAAGACCACAAGACACCTCCTAGACAGTTGAAACTGTCTATGAAAGACATTCGCTGGCAGTGGAAACACGATGGTTGCCCGAGAGCTGTCATGGGGAACCCGAGCGGGAAACAAGCTCAGGTCAGGGATTGGCGCAAATTCTGTACAGCGGCGCTCAATAAAGCACCGCACAATGCCTTGTGGCTTCTCGCGGACTCAAAGGGAGAAGACGCGGTTAAGAAACAGAACACTGCCTTGCGATGTTATTTGCCTTTGGCGATGGCCAGCGAAAATGTGTGGAAATTGGCCATGGAATTTTTCGAAGTTTGGGAGACTGGCCGGTTGTTGAGCCACGACGGGGCAAAGTGGATCGTCAAGAAGAAGAAGGTCAAAAACGTCAAGCCCGGGGTGACATACATCCACAACGAGAAGTTGGGCAGAAAGGAGGTGGTTTACAATGTCCCCGTGGAGCCGCCGACTAGGAAAGGCAAAAAGGAGAAAGAGGAGGGCGATTGGTTCGTGCAGGTGCCGGACCCGGACGCGCATTGTTGGAAAGCGATGGAATCGCTCACCGACAGTGAGAAGTGCCGAGTTCTGAGGAAGGTCCTTGCTTGCGAGGTCGTTTGGCTTCAGTCAGGCTCCCCGTCGTTGGCGAAGTTGGGAAAGCTGAGCGTGCACGACATGGTGCACCTGGTGAAGTGCGACCGCGTGCTCGTCCGGCTGTGGAATTACTACCAGTTCAAGCACGAGAAGAGGCCGGACGCCGATTGGAGCCAAAAGTACCCGTTCTTGAAATCCAGGGCCGCCGTGTTCAAGAAGTTCGAAAGTCACGGGCTGGATGGCGATTTGTGGGACAGTAGCAGGAAACACGTTTCCGATTCGGCTTTGTTCAAGGACTGTCCGCCGTATTTGGGTTGCGAGGATGACCACTCCATCGAGGCGACGGAGAAACTGGCGGGCCACAAGAAGATGACGGTCGATTGGAGAAACAAGGTTCTCTCTGTGTTGACAGGAAGTAGACTGAAGAGCCGGGAGATCGCACTGGCAGAAGGCATTGTCCACATCAAATGGAGAGACACGGGGGACGTGACATCGATCGCGCCATTCGGCAACGACCCTTTGGAGGCTGACATTAGGGGACCCGGTGTTGAATTGAAGGACGCAGTGGCAGCCACGAAGAGCCACACCTTCGTACTAGATCTTTGTGAGCCGGTTGACCTAACACTGTGGAAACCCCAAGCGTGGGAGACTCTGAATTCCTATCTTCAGACTTGGTGTCCGTCGCATTGGACTATGGTTGTTTTCGTGCCGCGGCAGCAAAACCTCTCGTTTCTCGCCAGCATGCACCATCTTTCATTCGTGAAGTTATTGGAAGGGAAGTGGGTGAGGAGGACCCAGCAAAAGAAAAGTTTTCACGTGGGGAACAATTTGTACACCGACGATGACCGCATGTACATCCTCTTCAAGGGCGACGATCTGCGCGCGAACACGTCCGTGGTCTATGAGGGGAGGTTGCCTAAGGGTGCCGCTGCAGCCGTGAGGTTGCCTCAGAGGGTTACCCTGACGGATGTGTCGGAAATGCCCTTCTCGCCTTGCGACTGGTCGCGGACCGCGCGGAAACGACAGGGCAGTGTGTACGGGGACATGGAACGCAACCCGACACAATTTCTCGCTCTTCTTGAATTTCTATCAAAGAAGGGAGAGGGTGTCGTCTTCTTGGGGAAACCGCACGTGGGAAGCGTGTGGGAGCTTCTGAAAGCACACCGGCATGTGGTCGCGATGGAAGGAAACTCCGACCTTTTGCAATTCACGATGCAACTGGTCAAAAGCGAGGTTAATTCCGGGGCGCATAATTGCGAGTTCATGGTCGCGAAGGCGACACGGAATCGGGTGTGGAACGACAAGACGGACATGTGGTTCAAGTTAAGCGAGAGGAAGAGGAACGAGATATACGAGAGGAAGAGGAACAAGATATACGACTTCTTGTTCCTGCGCACACGGCCAAGGACGGACACTGACGCCGAGTATGTCCGCTGCAAGGACCACATGTTGGCATTGCTCGACAACTACCATTCCGCCTCCCGCTTGAATGAGAAGACATTTCTCGAAAGGCTTCAGTCGTTGTACTTCGTTGAGTCCGAGCAGAACTTGAAGTTGGCCAGTTACGCCTCCTTGATCTCCATTGATGACGAGGAAGCCACCGGTGTTGAGTTCGATGCCGACGCGAAGGAGGAGGAGAGCGATACGGAGAGCCTCGACCTGCAGTATGATCCACCACCAGCGGAGCACGCGCGAGGGTCGTCGTCGGTCGGTCCGTCATCGAGCGCGGCGGCGGCGGCACCACTCGTGTCACCAACGGCAAGACCGTCGCCGGGCAGCGCGCCGATGAAGTTGCTGGAGAGACTAAGAGCAATGGCCATTCCCTCGTTGCGTCCCGGGTCCGAGATTCCGTCCGACCATCCGTCATGGAAGGATGACAACATCTACTTCCTGCTTGCGCCACAAAGTCATTCACCTGAGGCAGACTGGGGCCATGACATGATTTGGCATCCAGGCGTCATCCAGCCAGCGATACAAAAGGGCGAGTGGGTCATGGCCGTCGCAGTCCCGGATGGGGGATGGGTGTCGATTCCGCACGAGTCGAAGTCCACCTTCCTGCACCTCGCGAGGATTTCGGTCCTCCAGAAAGTGAGGGCCGAAAATGCCATGTTTGAACCCGACGACCCGTAAGTCGTTTCCACAGTCGGGCGACTTTTCGACGAGCTACAGGACAAGTGCTGGTCGGAATTGACGGAGGACTACAATGACCTGGACACGAGCCCGTCGAAGGGCGTGGTGAGCTGGAAAGTGCCACCTCCTGCTGGGCCACACGGTGGTTCCTGGGGGGGGGGGGCTGGAAGTGGAGGGGACGAGGGTGGTGGTGGGTGGGGGGGTGAAGGATATCCGCGAATTGGGGAGGATGGGCATTACGGCGGCACCACGGCCCTGGGAAGCAGCGGCGGGGCGGCGGGTTTTGCCTTCGGTCAGAATCCGTCTACTGGCCCCTCGCAGGAGCATGGGACACAGTCCGCCGACCGACCAGCTTCGTCCGTCGGATCGGCGAGGGAGACGTTAGCAGCCTTGGTCGCTCTAGGCGGCCGCGCCGGCGGAGCGTCGAAGTCCGCCGGGATCCGAAGTACGTCGGTTGAGGAGCCGCCAGTACGGTCGACCCTGTTGGGCGATACTAGTCCGGATCCCACAAGCGTCGACGGTGCGGCGAGGGACGAAAATTTGTCGCCTGAGAGGGAGCGAAGGCCGCTAGGATTGCAACGAGAGGCGGCAAGGGCAGGATCCGGCCACACGGAGACGACGAAGTCCGCCGAGATCCGAACTTCCTCAGGCGGGGGGTGTCGGCCAGGTAATGTCGCGGCGCCGAGAGAGGCAGCATGCGCAAAGACGGGAGGGTGGTCGTCGGGGTTCGGCAAGCGTGCTGGGGAAGGGACTGGAATGCAGGGAAGGGAAGTAGGGGAGGAAATGGACGAAGGGAGGAAGGGGAAGAACTGGAAGAACCGGAAGAAGGGGAGGAAGGGGAGAAAGGGGAGGAAGGGAAGGAAGCCCGCAAAGCGGAGGAGGAAGGGGAAGAAGGGGAAGAAGGGGAGGAACGGGAAGAACCGAAAGAAGGGGAGGAAGGGGAGGAAGGGGAGGAAGGGGACGAGACTTTTGCATGCACAAGCGACGCCGAGGCTGAATCTGGAGAATCGTCTGACGAGTTCGGACAGCTGTACGGAGGCCATCGCGAGGATGATGTCGACGACAATGCCACGACAATCGATATGGAGACACAGGTGGTTGGCAGCCTTTCTGTGGAGCCTGACGACTATGAGGTCCAACCGCTAATGTGTGCCGTCGATTTGCAAAAGCGGTTCGACGAGGCTTCCGTTGTTGTGAGCCCGTCAAAACCAAGTCGTCGTATAAGCATCGACGAGGTTATCGAGGGTATACTCGGCAACCAGCGAGTGTTCGCACATCCGTCCACAACGCCTGAGGTCGACGACGCGGGCAACGTTACGCCGCCGGACTCTAGGGTGTTGTCCGCCACCCTCGCTGGCGTGGGGGAAGGTGAGGTCATGGGATGACAACACGTCACATCCCCTAAAAAATCAAGGGTCGGCAGTCACGCTATCGACGTGCTTGCTTTGCCAGCGCCAACATCACCGATGAAGGAGCAGAGAGACAAACCGACCGGTAAGCGGTGAAGAACGCCACAATGCCTGCAAGCCTGGGTTTACGAAAACGTGCGGTCGATTTCCTCTGTGTTCTGGATGTCTGCAAACTGCAGTCCGCGCCATACACACCACCAATGTCCACACTGTCTGTCGATACGGCCACCATTCCTTCTGTGTAGTGTGTTTTTATAAACACGTTCGCGCGTGAAAAATTCAGCGGCTGAGAAACTGGTCATGTCAATGCACCGACGATTTTGCCTTCTCAGTAATAGTGTCGGTTTTAATCCGCCGGGATCCGAACTTCCTTTGTCGATGCATAATGTGGTGGTTATATGTGGGCCTGGTGTGTTGGAAAGTCCGCCGCACACACCGAGAAGTTCTGCCTGTCTGTTGCGTCTGTACGAGTGCTTGGTTCTCACATTGTCAGGTCCGTCGGATTCGCGTTGGGAGACATGCATTCATTTTACGTTCTGTCTTTCTTCTGTGTACAGGGGTGGGGTCGTCTCGACCAAGGAGGTCCTCGAAATATCCAGAACACATATTGCAGAAAGTCCCCGGGTTGACGAGAAAACAAAAGGGACTGTTGAAGGCATCGGGGGTTGATGTCGAGATCGGGAAGAGGGAGCACGATGTTGCCATTGAGGAATGCCTTTCTCTTCTGGCCCCCGAGAAAGGGACGTATCCACGATCTGTGAGTAGGAGTCAGGCCATATGTGACAAATACTTAGCAACGCATCATGCAAAGGGGGATAATGCCTAGATCTGCTTTTCTCACTACCCCGCGTGTCTTTTGCTCAATGTTGTGCAGTGCGGCCCACAACTCGTGGAACACGCCGAAAAACATTCGGTGCAGCGATTGCGCCTCGGAGCTTGCGGGTTTTGGACGACATTAAACGAGGCTCTGTGCCACCTCATGCTGTTCTCTGCGTCATGGCCGATGGTCAATTTTGAATTGCAGCAAAAGATCTCCTCACCCTCTTGCATATCGGCGGCAGGGTGAATGATGAGGTCATCAATTTTTATATGGCGCTGTTGGGGTCGACCGCATGCGGGTCGCGTCACATGTCGTCAGGCCTTCAAGTCTTCAACTTCAATTCGTTCTTCTTCAGTAAACTGCAACTTCAAGGACACGTTGGGGTGCAGAGGTGGGCTAAAAATGTGGATTTGGTTCGATACGATATTATCTTCGTTCCGGTCCACAATCACAATGACCATTGGGTCCTCCTTTCCGTCAACTTAAGAGATGACGTTCTCGAAATTTTTGATTCTTTTCCTAGAGTTGTATCTAATTCGAGTTTTTACATTAGTGTTTTCGAGTTGATTGTAGAGTATTTGAAACGTCAAACGTCACGTACGCGGTCGGGTAAGAATTGGAAGTCGATACTGGGAAATGTTGTCGTGGATGGAGTTCCGAGACAAGTGGATGGAGCTAGTTGCGGGGTGTTCATGTTGATGTTCGCGACGTTGTTGCAACGTGGTGATCGACCGCCTTTCGGGTTCTCTTCTAAAGATATTCCGCTTATTAGACGACAAATGGCATCGTGTATCTTAGAACGTCGTTGTCTTTCGTAGATTTGCTTGGCTGAGGATTTTTTTTTGAAGGTTTTCCATTTGTTGTTCATGACTATATTTTGTAAATCATGCCATTATTCGATCGCCGTTTTTATAACAACATTGCTTTTTTTTCTGTCGTTGCGAGTTTGAGTTCTCTTCGGCGGGCTCGTTGCTTGTCAGGGGTCGTCAATAGACTTCTCTCTCATGTCTTGTTCATGTCTCATGCAGCGGATCATGTCATACGTTCCGTTCCATGTCCCACATCCTGTTCAACTCGATCTGTAAATATGATTGCCAGATTGGTCTGAATACATGACAGATCTCATATACTGTGTGACAAATCTCCGAGTGGATGCATAACAAATTAGTCAATGGATGCAGTAATAAATGTAAGGAGCAGTAAGGTCATGTCGGCCTAGACGATGGGTATGCTTGCACAACTTTGGGATAACCTGATGAAGAAACTTGGATGTGTTGTCCAGCAACGGTTCGATCACGACACCTTGTTTAGCACACTCTATGAACTATAAGTTTGACTAGTATGGATCTCAACACATTTCTGGACACACTTACGCTTCATAGCTGGGCGTGCCTGTCGATACACTAACTTTTCTCACCAAATCATAAATTCAAAATCATAAAACATCCGAATGAGCTGCTCAGGCGAGACTGCGGACCTGCCTATGTAGCTCTGGGATAGCCGAAATAGTTATATTGTGCTATTCGATCTGAGTGTATTGCTCATTTTGCTTATAACGTGCAACAAGTGTGGATTTCAGCACACTTCCGCATTTAGGGCGAGTGGATGGGCGTGCGTACGTGGAAATGCAGCAGCCAGATATGAATTTGTCAGAAAGTCTTAGAGGACACAATACAATCAATGGCATGACATTGTCTTTCATTACGTTTGTCAATTTCCCCAGCACACTTCCGCAAAGGGTTCCTTGATGGGCGTGCCGTTCGTCATTCGTTTACGAAGTTCAACAAGTATGGATCCCAACACAATTCCGCAGAGGATTCCTTTTACGTTTTTGAAGTTCAACAAGTAAGGATTCCAACACGATTCTGCACAGGGTTCCCGGGAGGCATGCCTAACATATATGGGTCTCAACATGCTTTCGCATTTCGGATATCATTTGTAAAGTTGCACAAGTACGGATCTCAGCACGCTTCTGCATGTGGTTAAGCGGCGGACGGGCGTGCCAACGTTGTTTAGGCTGTAGCCAAAAAATGAATTCGTTAGAAAAAGGACACAGTATAATGTCCTATTTTAACGAATAACATGTTCATGTTCTTCCCTGTATCGTTCCAATCTCTCTCTCTCTCTCTCTCTCTCTCGTGTGTGTGTGTGTGTGTGTGCGGGATGAAGGGTAGTGAGCAGATTGTAGTCGGGTTAGGCGAGATATGGTGATGACACATATGCGTACAGGTGGCTTATTCTGCCAGTATCATAGATTTCGCTGTCGTGTTGTGTCTGGGCGTGTGGGTTACCTTCTCTGTTGCCCAGATTTTGGTATAAGGGGTAGCGCGCTGGTTATGGTTGGGCTAGGCGGGGTGTTAGAGAGTTGTGGTGAGTACTGCATTTATCATGTAGTTGTGATGGCGCGTGTGGGCACCTCGTTATTGTTGTCGTGTTGTGTCTTACTTGTGTCTATCTCGTATATGGTTTCGAGGTGGTTGCGGTATTTTGGGGGCCGTATTTAGCCACCCATCTACCCTCTGCTAAGCTGCACGGGTGTCTGGGGGGTTAATTGTTTGAAAAAAGGAGAAAAGCGTTTACTTTTCGTACGTGGGTCTTTTATTTTTTATTTTTTATCCCCAGCCATTGTCTGTTTTCAGGCTCATTCCTCACTTGCACATTTTGGAGTACGTGCGTTGGAGTCTTGCGTGGGGAGCTGCGTTGTGCCATCTTGCTCCCCCTTCTTCCTCCATCTCCATCTCCGTCACTAGCGGAGCACCACGGCTGGTGGGTCCGCTACATTGGTATCGGAGCGGAAACGGTCCCCGCCCCCACCCACCACACCGCACAGCAGCGAAATATTGCAAAACCCGTCAGTCGGGTTTTCGGCTGTTTTTGGGGCGTTTTCGGGCAAAAAAGCGGGAAAAACGACGGGAAAAGGTGCTGCAGCAGGAGAGCTCCAAGTGGCGAAAAAGGAAGCCGCATCACGACGCGTGCGCCAAGGCCAAGGCCGTCGCACGCGCGCGCGTCATGCGCCCACGCTGCCCGCTGCCCCGCCCCGCCCCGCTCTCGGATTTATATTATCAAGATCCGGGATGCAACTGCTGGTGTTGGGGTTTGAACCCAGGCACTGCCGGAGCCATGCGCGTGCGTAAGCAGCCTCATAACACACTCGCCATAGTGTGTCCATGGCTTTGTAACACGGCACACTCGTGTTGAAGAGGTGCCGTGCTGGCTATTT